CATTGGAACGAATTTAATTAAAGTTTAAATATATGGGGAAATCAAAAATTAAATATTACTGAAGAAATCCAACTTATTAGAATAGTGATTTGCTAACCTTGAAGATCTAGACAGGAAGGAATTACTAGCATAATTAGTACGAAATGATCTCACATGGAATGGTTGATTCAGTCTTGTTTGACGAGGAGGCACATGGAGATTAATATTTTTCAATAGTTCTGGAGCAAAAATAAGAGAATGCGTCTTACCTCAAGGGTTGAAATATGAGAGAGCTTTCAATGACGGAATAGATAATATCTACAACCATAAGGTTTTGTTTGAATGAAATGAATCTTAAGAATTTATGATGCACTCTGGCAATTGCCTAAATATGAACATTATAGTTGGGTAACCAAATACAAGAACAATACTCCAAATGGGGCGTCACCAAAGAACAAAACAACGATTTAAATTACTGAATACTATGAAAATCCTTAGCACATCGTTTTATAAATTCCAACAGTTGAAGATATTTAGAAACAATCATATTTATATGGGTAATAAATGATAATTTTGGGTCAAGAATTACCCCTAAATCCCTAACTTGAGATAAACTCTTTAGAGGACAACCTTTCATGGTATAAGTATGATCAATGGGGTCCCTGTTACGGCTGAAGACCATTAAATGACATTTTTCCACAATACGTTCCATTCTATTCATTTGACACCAGACACTTAATGAATTCAACTCATTTTGGATATATAAACAATCATTATTATATTTGAGAGATTTTTAAGAATAATTTCAAATCATCTGCAAACATTAGAAAACTAACAGACTTAAAACAGTATATAATATCATTCACATATATATATATATTGAAAAGAAGAGGTCCCAGATGGGAACCTTGAGGTACTCCAGATGGCAAATTAATCTCCTTTGATTGGAAGCTTTGTATACGCAGCCATGATAAAAGATCCCGGCAAATTCCTAGACAATGTAACTTATTAATCAAGATCCTATCGAATGCTTTAGAAAAATCTGTATAAGCCACGTGAACAGAATAAGTAATCTGCAAACCAATGGCCGACATACTTCGTTCAAAGTCCAATATAAGTTCGTCGGACTTTGAGTATAATTTATTATTTTTTTGCAGAACAACCGATCGTAACCGCAGTTTTTTTCAACGTTCCAACTGCATGCACTTCGTTGTTTCATATTGTTTAATCAGATAGTATACAATATCAAATTCAGTACTTATTTTTTTTCTTACCTGGTATGTTAATAACAGTGTAAAAACCTGTATGTACACATTTAATGCTGGTATACGAGCCTTGTACAAACTTTCCAATGTGCGATGTATTGTAAATGAGTTGTGACCATTTAAACTTTTTCTAAGCTCCTTATAGGAAATAATAATGTTGATAAAATATATTTGCGTGCTCAGATAGATATTCAAATACGCAAATAAAAAAAAATCATGCATGTCTCCTGCTAGATCAACAATTGTACCCCTATATACACTGTCTCAAAAACTATTCAACTATTACGGTTGAAGGATTGTTAAATACAGGCTTTAGAAGGGGGTAAGTATGGTAATGAGATGATTCAGGATTCAATATGTACATTAATCGCTGCCCCAACAACTATTTACAATTTGAGAGACGAGAAATATTTATTTGCTCTGGGCCTATTCCATAAAAAATATTAGACAAGTAAATTACAAGTTATAAGTAAATATGGTCAAATAATGGTATGTTCCACATATCACCGACTGTGCTTGTAAGAAATGTCACCTTGAAATTACAAGTGCAGTATTGTAAACATCACATTTCGTAAAAGCGCAGGCATATGAATAGCAAAATCTTATAAAAATAAGATTGGGTTGTCAGGTAACAACTTTAGAAAAATGAAGTAGTGATGTTTCAGAAATGCTTCTTCCTCGTCGTCCAATCGTTGAATATGATAATTTTGAAGGCGAAATTGAAATTTCCTTGAAAGATGAGCCATCGAGCAATTATAATTTTCCCGATACTGTACTCCTATAGTTCCAAACAAATTAAGAGAGTTGAATAGGTAAATCTGTAAATAGGACCCTGTGATGTGTATCTCAAAATTATTATTAGCAATGAATAAATTATACTTTAATAGAAAAAAATTGTGGAAAATTATAATGCTTTTATTGGGTCAGTTAGAGAGTATATAAAACTGCTTAGTCTCTGCTGAGTTTATGCGGTGTTAGTCATATTTGATGATGTTCATCTTAAATCGCTAGATTAGCAATCATTGAGCTCAAATTATACAGGATGTTCTTTAATGATATGCGAATATTTGAGGGTGTGAATCTACATGAAAAATTAATGTTAGTTTGCTTTATAAACTGTGGTCCAAAAATGTTTCCTTACAAAAATGTGTCTAATTTTTCCAATTAAATTAATAATAATTTTGCAAGTTAGACAATAGGACGGTTTTCATTTTTTACTCAAAAATATCTCATCGGTGGTAAGCAATTCAAGAAAGATCATTTGTTTTAAATTGAACGGGGAATTCAAAAACAATTTTTATTTGGCAAAAAACCGTTGGCGTACCATTTTTTCTTAAAAAATATCGAAGTCAATACCCGTACGCACGCCACTGTTAAAGCTAAACATTATTTTTGCATTGAGAAATATCCAACTTTATTAACTTTCAATACGCACTAAATATCAGTGACACATCTGAAGCGGTTCTGAAAATATTAATTAATTTCCATTTTTTTTTTCTAAAACTTCAACACCCCGAGTTTTTGTAAGGAAACATTTTTGGACCATGTTTATAACACACACACCCTTACATTCGCATATCATTAAGGAACATCCTGTATACTAAACTTAATACTACCAAAAAAGCGTCTTTCAACGTCATTATTCCTCCTTATTGTTACTATTATTTAACCCTTTTTTGAATCAATAAGCTTGCCCTATTCTTTTTTACCAAATTAGAATAACTTTAACCTAAAATAACAAGACGATAACACTACTGCTTGTACTTTCATGGAACATAATCATCTAATTTACGAACATAGTAGTACGACTTGGAAAATAGGGAATAGTACTCATAAATCGTACGTGAAGCTTTCACGGAACACAATATCTCATATTAGTGCAAGTCACAAGTAAATTCACTTGTAATTATTACACCACAATTTTTATGGAATAGGACCTTGGAAGTATTACTACACAAGATATCAAAAGAGGCCCACAGAGATTCTTTATCACAGCATATTTAATACTCCCTAGGATGCTAAGAGATATTTTCGGGTACCACAGCGGAAGAGAGCATAAGGCAGCGTTTTTTAATATGGCGGAATCCGAGCGAATCGACTTGGCCGATACGAAGAAACGCCGCGCTAAAAGTGGCGTGCGTTGTGTTATTGCTACTGTTTTCCTTATTGGTACCAGAGTACAGCGCGGCGTGCGTTTGAAAGCAAGGTCGGTGCACGCGGATCCAAAGACATTGTTAAAGTAACGTAGGATGTTTTTCTACTAGACTATGATTACGGCACGCGTCAACCACGCGACACAATTGCGTGTGGAAGCTTCTTGCAGCATATGTCGAGTCGCGACTTGTAGTATTGAATCCGCTGCGTCTTCTTCATTTCAGAAATGCTACGACTAAATCGTAAGTTATATTCGGAGACATTAGATGTATTACAAACAGAAAAAAATAATTCATTCAACTTGACTTTCTGGCAATGAGGTAGTCTTACATCAAGAATGAAACGATAACATTCTCACGAAATTTTATTGACAAGTAATAAGACAAAAAAATAATTTGTTGGACGACCCTGCAGCTGAATACACTCCTGGATACATCTAGGCATCGACAGAATGAGATGATCGATGTCTGGTTATGAGTGAGTCCGTGGCGGATGGTGTAAAGTGGATAGTCTCCTACCCAACATATCCCACACATATTCGATGGGATTTAAATCCGGCAAAACATTAACGCCTGCTTCTTGAACAAAGTCCTTAGTACGACGAGCAATATGGGGACGTGCGTTGTCTTGTTGAAAAAGGACGTGTGGACGGCCCTCAAGATACGGCAGTAAACTGGTTATTAGGATATCATCAACGCAGTCATGTTGCCTTGAACAAAGAGAAGGGATGATTGGCTGCCATGGGCACCAAACCATTATTCCAACAGTCCTGTGTACATGCCTCTCAACAGCAAATCCAATATCACGCCGTTCTCCAAAGCGGCGGCTTGCCCTTCTACGACCGTCATGCGTACCTAGACAGAATCGCGATTCGTCGATAAAGATGACATCATGCCACTCTGCCTCCCAATGTTGCCGTTCTCTTCTCCAATTAAGACGTTGACGACAGTGGTCCGCGGTCAGAGGAAGGACTTAAGGACTTACCGTGGACGGTATGAAAAAAGTTCAAAGACTCGAATTCGACGATAGAGTGTACGCCTACCTTCTTCTACATGCCATTGGTCAGCGATCTGACGCGTAGTAGCAAAACGGTCTCATAGGGCTAGTTGCCTGAAGCGCCTATCTTGACACTCAGTGGTAAGCCTCGGTGGACCAATTGGCCTTCTTCGTGTTCCTCTACCTTCTTCTATCCACACACGACACACACACATCGGCACGGAGGCCAATTTCGCGATGGGACAAGCCAACATCTCGATAGGCAATAATTCTACCCCTGTCAAAGTAACTCTCTCAGAAACTGCTTTCTTCACAAAAACTAAGAAATAACATTTTAACAAAGGTAAACAAAAACGAAGATAAACGTTGACATTGTTGGCACAGCATGCTTTAAATATAGTCATTATGTTGCCAAAAAAACAACTAGAAGGAATTATTTTTTCTGGATGTAACACTTCTATTGTCACTGAGTATATTTATGCTCCAATAATTTTTCTATGGAGCATAGTTGTAAAAATAATCTTATGTTACCAGAAATTTAGTAATTAGTAGCGGAAACACCAGATTGTTAAAAAAGCGAAGGAAGAATTAGGAATAGAACGACTTTCAGTCGAGTTTAATTTATTGAAATATCAACTACATTTATACAATAATTCTACTAGGTTAAAATTAGTTAAAATATCAAGGGAGTGTATAGAGCCACTAAAGCTACCATTTTCACAACAAAACATATCAGACATAACAGTTACACCAATTAAAAAAGAAAGCGAGATGTAGCTCTAACATCCGAGTCATAAAAACATTGAGAATTCAAAAAATAGTCAACAATGATCAGGTACTGAAATGGAAGACAGTAACATAACTCAACATACGCCACTGCTGATTCGTGATTTTTACAGTAGCGTACGATGCTTTATGTTCATTTTGGAACTTTACTATAGCTTTTATCATTCTCTAAAATTTAAAGGGTTTATGTTCTGTATATATAAATAAGTGAAAGCAGGCTTTCGGTCCCTGACACACTCCCGAAGTACAAAATGCATGTCCAGCATGCTCAGCAGGTACGTAGTGATGTAAATTTTTGAGTCATAGCACCAAACATAATACAAAATAATCACAATGCAATAGCTAAATGCACTTGGAAACTATAAAAATGTAAAGACTATATAGTTATACTACGAATAAGATGCACTATAAGTAAGATATTTATCTCAGGAAAGTGTGCGGCTAGTACCCTTTAGCACTTTACTCTAACATTGTAGTCCAGTTAATTTAGTCAATAAATGGTTTTTGTGTGAGATGACAAGAAATGCGTCAATTGATATGTTTAATGTATTAAGAGGTAAAACACGAATATTTTTGGAGTTGGATTGAGCATCTCAATCTTCGAAATTTCGCATACAAATTTCTTCAGAAAAAATTAATGAAAATATCAATCACACAACAAAATATATGCATTCAAAACACTTCATCTCAATATATCATGAAATTGATAGTGTTGTTTTAGTAAAATTTGATTGAAATATGATACCGAATTAAAGAAATCTAAAATTTAAAGACATGAATGTTCGTAAAATCATACGTTTGAATCAAGGTCATCTGAAACTGCTGATTTGGTAAACATATTTTAAATTTCTGCCAAAAGATAAAGTAATTCAGGATATCACACAAAAACAATTTATCAGAAAAACGAAACGTGTTTTAACCTAAAAAAATTGAGATCAATCATTCAAAAATCTGGGAAACATGCAGTGTGCATACATGCTAGGTAAAATGTGGAAAATAAGGAAAAATTCGAGCTATAGTCCAGCCTTTCACCATTGATACCAATTCATCATCTCTTGAATTTAAAATCTGAACCTTATTGCTGTACACTCACACGCCGCCACTGCTTTCAACAAATTGAAAAAGTGTATTTATCAGTTTCACAGCTGTGGTTTTGGAAACAATATTTGCTTAAATCCCAAAACGCATTTTATGAAATAGTTAATAATGCAGGAAATATAGTAAAATGCATCTTTTAACGTCTGGACTTACCGTTAATTCCATGGGCGCTCCAAATATGTGACTGTGACAGCACCTAGTTTCACTGTAATATGATACCTCAATTTTGAAGGGATGAACTATATTTAATAGGAATAAATGTTATTGGAAGGTTTATGATATGTAAGGTATGACACATAGTTTACAAAATATTAGATGCGACCAGCAGAATGTCATTGATTCAGCCTAAAAAGTGTTAGAGCAAAAGCATCATCGGGCAAACAGTTTAGTATACGATATCACCCAAAATTTAGAAATTTGAAACACATAAGCGTGGTTCAATTGGAATGTTTTTTTAATTATTTTCAGAAAAATAAACTCTGACATCTCTTCTAGTTTCACTAAAATCAGCCTTACATCGTGACCAAACATCATTTCCAGTGGCATACAATCTAAAAAGTTGAAAAGGAAGCATTTGGAATAATTTAATTTTGTGCCCAAAAATTCAGGCAACTCTTCAAAAGTATTTATACTTTTTCGTCAAAACGATCATTATATAAGCACTATATATTGTTCCTACTATACAGAATACCACAATGGAAGTATGGCACTTAAGGTCTTTTTGGGCTACTTAAGCAAGAAGCATGTTCTTAAAGCTATTATATACGAAAAAACAGTAAATATATTATATATACGAAAGTAATGCCAATCTATAATTTAATTTTTTTTTGTCCTAGGTCCTAAAAATAGTAAAAGTTTATGGAGCCACACAAAAAGTTTTGTTCTGATTGCATGCCAAAGGAAAATAATATGTCAGATTGCATTCCCGACTACTTAAGTCATCATCTTGCGAGATCGCAACGGAAATTTATAAAAATCTCTAATATAAAAATATCATTGTTAATCTCTAAAATACCCATAATATCACACGTGTCGAGCTACACTTTGCGCAGAATAAAATATTTAAGGAATATGCACAAAAAAGGAACTGGTATATGAAAGCGAACGCTCTCCCTGAGCTGGTAAAGTTATAAAAAATCCAAGCCACCTCACAGCACTTTGGCAACGTTGTATCACACGCGCTATCACTCATAGAGCAAACTAAACCATAGTATAATGGACCCTGAAAAGAAAAACTGGCTTTAGTTACTAATAAAGAAAATTTTTACAAATGTCTCACAGCAGCGATTTTTCAAATAGTGTTTTTAGGAAGAAGAATATTTTAATTATTAAATAGGTCTTTCTGCAGCTCTCCGGCAATATGAACGAAAAAATCGCGTCAAGTAGGTTGACTCTGCACCTTCCATGCAACGCCGTCATCAGTTCGTAACAGATTATGTTCAGCAAAAGTCAGACCCTTTGAGAAAAAAACTAGTTACGCACATGTACAACATGTAAGTCCCGAAAAAATGGACTTAAGTGGAACTTCAAAACTTTAAATTTTTTCATTTGAATCAATAAAAAACGTCATGGCGACTTCAAAAACGTTCATATGGCCAGTAGAAAGCAGAGGGTGAGCATTGTGAATTACTAAAAAACCACTGTTAAGAGACATTTGAAGATTGAGCGTTTCTGTCGAATATATACGAGAAGAGGCTAAAAAAAAATATTTAAACTCAATCATTGCTCAAACATAGACTCTACTTTTGAATGAAATGAAATGAAATTAAATATTTGAATGGCTTTTGATAAACTCATAAAATGGAAAATGGGTTGTACCTGAACAGGGTGGGCCATTAAAAAACGACAAAGCCTAGGGAATCTAATTTATGTTTTTGATAAAGTAGACACAAGGGAATTTTATTTTTTGAAAATAACATCAAGACGTACGCACTCCTCGAATCTCCAACAATAATGCGAATGCAAAGGTCGTTGGTGTTTTAATTTTAGATTTTCTGCGGCCCAATACCGGTAATTTTGCTTGTTGATAGATCCATTCGAATGAAAATGAGCTTCATCAGAAAAGAGAATGTTGTTCAAACTTGGAAAGCTATCTAATATTGTTTCGGCAAACGCACGGCGTAGATGGTGGTCCTGCGGTTTAAATTCCTGCAATAGTTGAAGTTTATATGGGTGCAATAGGTCTTTTACCAAAATGCGCCTTACAGATGTTCTTGATATGGCGAGCTTATCTGATCTCTTTCGGCATGATAAATGTAGATCACGCCATATGGACAACTTACAGTTTTCTCTGTTCGTATTGACCTTGGTTTCTGATCCAATCTTCAACCCGCAGAACTTCCTGACCCACGGTCTGATCACACTTTTGATATTGATTCAGATCATGTCAACTAATCTCTGAGCGAAACAGACGCCGTACAATAGTGCACGAATCACCACTTTTTTAATAAGCCTTAACACAGAACGCACGCTGCTCACCAGTCAAACTAAATTTCCGAGCATCAAGCTACTTATCCCCACTACCCGCATCCCGCGTGCCTGAAACTCGTACGTCTTTCTGGTCCACCCTGTATAATCGAAACAGGTAGATGTTTGAGGATATCCGCAATTTGAACACATACAGGATGATTAAGAAAGCAATGGCAATATTCCTAGAGCAGAAAGCACATCCAAAAGTAACTAAAACGGGTTAAAGTCTTAGATACAGAGTTTACCTCAAATATTCAACCCTTTTTTTCCATAAAGTAATCTGACCTACATTTTTGAATAGAGGCAATTTACGAAACGTTAGACACCTGAAAAATGCAATAAATGTTCATTCTGTAGGGGTTTTCCCAATTTCTATGCGCAGTGTGAGGCACGAATTTTTTTATCATATGCGCGATGTTGTTAGTACCATGTATATTTTGTACAAAATTTTAATCCATTCCGAAAATATATTTTTTCGATTTCGAAATCATGACTTCAACAGTCGGTATACCGCTATGGAGTAATTTTAAGACCCAAGTAAAACTGTTCGTGTTATTTTTTTATCTACATTGTGCCTCAGGAATATTATCACTGGTTATATATAAACAAACTCAGCGAAGTTTTGCATCATGTTTTGCAGATGGTAAATGCAGAACATTCCAACCTCTCCTCGTACACTGTCATAAAAAACAAAAGGCAAAGTATACAGACACAAGTACCAGTCACTCAAAGTCAAACCGGTTTCATCCTACGCCTGCAGTGAAATCTCCTCGGCAGGTTTTTCCGCCTCTCGCGTCTGTATACCTTGCTTAAATAAAATAACTGGAGCATCGACTTACCTCACCCAATGAATCCTGCCGTAAGCGAGATGAGCAGAGCTAGTAACGCCGTGGTGATTGAGCTAATACTGGAAGAAACCATGGACGCCGAATGCTCCTGGGTGATGGCTTCTGCCCGGACGACTGCGGGTGGGTCTTCAGCTGTCAACTGGTTGGCGTATTTGGCCAAAAGGTCCATAATGACGCCATTGGTCCAGCCAAAACCCAGCTGCAGCTCGTACTCACCTCCACCGCCATGACCGCCTGGCACAGTCGCGTCGTACTGAAACAAAAGACATGTGGTCAGATTTTAATCAAAATTGGACGTAGATGGCCATACAAGGCCCACCAAAGGCGTAAGCATGACCCCTCCACCTTGGGCGAATCGAGACCGACAACTAATTCCTCCCTCCCCTAAATTCTAAAGGCCTATTCATACTCAGCAGTGACGTGTCAATGCTGTGACCGACACGTGATCCGCCCGGCGAAACTAAAAAGATTCTTACTGGAATTTGAATGATTCACACTAAACCGGCACGTCGAAGTGGCCGTGTTCTTAGTGCCCTCGACGACGCCGTAGTGTGATCATCGCATTGTTTTGGAACGATATTTTTAGATTTTCTTCTTCTCCATCTTCCGTAGGTGGTAGACGGTCTGTGACTGACGAATACGGACGTACCACCCGGCGGATCTCGTAGGCGGGGCCAGAATGTGTTCCCTCGCCAGAGTCCGTGTGGCGTCTTCCCTTTCCCCTGTGTTTCCCCCAATAGCACCACGGTACCCCATGGGTGTTTAGGGGTTAGGCCTTCGTGGTAATCGGAGTACAAAAAAATCCAGAATTAATGCAATAATTGCAAGTTATTCTCTGAAAATTTTGCTATCTCGACTTCACGTGAACACAACTCCACTGTCAGAGCACGGAGGTAAAAGTACTGACCGGCAGTGGAGAAGCGCCCATGTAACCATTGTTACCATCGGTAACAGATAAAAATCTTAAAAATAAATATTTCATTACTAAGTACTGTAAAATAATTTCATTTATTTGTTTACCAACAGCGATGTGTGATAGTAATTCAGTAAATAAAAATAAAATAATGCGCCCTATAGTGTCTAGGTTTTTCGAACACGATGAAGCTGACTCGCCTCGACTTGGTTGTCGGTTGTTACCATTTTCATTTATGGATACACTTGGTAGTCCGTCGGGGACCGTCGGATCCGGCTCGTGTCTGATCGCGGTCGGCCGAGCGCGTGGGGCGCTGCGACTATTATATGGGCTTGTTACCAAACGCTCTAATATAATGCATTTCATACCGACGAGCGAACCATTTGTCACCGAGTGACGTCATGAGCAAAGGGGTACACAATTCGATCACGAAGTGAGCATATCTTCTCTGGCATCACTGGTTTCAGTAAAAGACGTTTTTTTATTAAGAAGCCTTTGATGCCGCTAATGATACTTACACAATAAGTGATTTTATTAAGACTATGATTTGTGTTAACATAGCTTTGAGTGTGGGATCTGCCGATAACACCTAGGGAGTCACTACTTGACTTGATTTTCAAGCTACTTGACCTGACTTGAAATCATCAAGTCAAGCTCAAGTCAAGTATTGCTATTAGGAATCTTATATCAAGTAGTTTTTACGGCTGTCTGTCAAGTACTTGACAATTCAAGTAGCCTTGATATTACTAGATAATTTTTGTAATATAAAAACGAGTAGATTATAAATGCAAATACTTTATTTGTCGCAAGTTTTAGAGCAGTGGTCGCCAACCCGTCGATCACGAGCTACCGGTAGCTCGCAAAGGCAATTCTGGTGGCTCACAACATATTCTAAAAATGTGTAAAAATCATAGAAGCTTCCGTAAATTTTGTAAATTCTCATTCAGGCAGCAGCGGTGGCCGCAGTAGTAGACTCTTCGGTCTCCTGATCAGTCGCCGTGCGCTGTGCGGGTTCGACTCCCGTCCCAGGAGAAATTTTTCTCTTGGCTATGGATGTTGAGATTGTCCGTAGGTGGTAGACGGTCCGTGAATGTCGGTCCGTGTGGCGTTCCCTCTTTCCCTGTATCCCCCATAGCCCCACGGTATCCAATGGGTGTTTAGGCCTCAGGCCTTCGTGGTAGTTGGAGTATAAAAGAAAACAACAAGCAGCGGCAACACTGCGATGAGCGATCTGTTCGAGAACGATCTCGATTGCTTTGAAAGGAATGAATACGCAAGGCGCGGCTTCAACTTCAAAAATCGTTTCAAGGATTTCAACGAAATTGCTATAGTGGCACAATTTGTTATTTCACCCTTCATGAAAATTGGATTTCTAACAGTTTACAACTTCTGTTACGCAGAGTTTTAGCGAAGACATCGCTGCGACAGAAACGGAAGTGATTGGGTTTCAAAATGATTTAGCTTCAAAAGCATTACTCTAATACAAAATGTTTCTGGTCTTCCGAAAGTAAAGATAAATACAGTTTTATGTCGTGTTGCCTTCAAAGTGAAACCGTTATCTAGTCAACCTATTTGTGTGACACTGAAAAGTTTGGCGACCACTGTTTTAGAGAAAACAATATCGAACAAAATAATTTGTTCATCGTATAACAAATAATGGAACTATAAGACTGTAAACTGAAGTAGAAAAAAAATTTCATCAGCTGAATTTGAACGACACTATCAACCGATTTCGCGTTTTTTGGTTTGGCAACGCTGTTTCATCATTTCAGATGATGGTGACAATTTAATACGGCTCATCAGTTATACAAATAAATATCACTGAAGGTCTTTAGTACAACAAATATAATTTGCCATCAAGTCAAGTAGAACAATAAAATTCTGAAGTGAAGTCAAGCATCAACGTTGCAAATAATTTTATTTATTTATAAGTCAAGTAGTTTCTAAAAATATCAAGCTACTTGACTTGGTGTATCCCTAATAACTCGTTATTACGCATGGTATCTCAAAAAGTTAAATGAAAAAATTGTAGCCAACAGTATGCTCCTGCGTTGGAAAATATTTTTTTCGCTACAGGGTGATTCATAACTACGTGGTGACCCAAGCATACATAGCAGTAGTTCGATTCCGTTTCTGCGAAGTGTCTTGTATACCTGAGATTCCCGAAAATCTCCCAGTGTTGCACTAGTTCTACCTTAAACAAATTTTATATTTCTATTTATACATTTTCGTATGTTTTCACTGAAATCTACCTCGCCACATTTCCAACGAAACCTGCTAATTTTGTTTTCAACCGAAAGCTAGTCTGTTTATTTGTACCCGAAAATGTATGGACAATATGTGAGCTATTTACGGTTTATAATTAGGTTTTTTAAAATAAATACATGTTACGGACAGTTGTATGATGGTCCAACTTGTCACTGCTATGGATTCATCATAAAAATTCATTATATAGTAACTTCAATAAGAAAATGATTAGATGTTGCAGACATGTGTTTACAATTCGGAAAATTATGGCTTTGAATAGTAAATAATAATAGAAAGTAGAATCTAGCCTTACAACGTATTATTTTCGCGCAGTAATTTCCACAACACGAAAGATTGTAGGCAAATTTTAGCCAAATATCGTCAGTTTTAAAAACTTTAACACATGAATAAATGGAAGAAAAAAGTGAGAGTATTTCCGAACTATTTTAAAGCCTAGGTTCAATTTTAATCTATGCAGAAGCAAAAAGCAAAACTCGTAAAATGCACAGAAGCTACTAAAAAACATGCCTTTATAGCTAACCGAACCAAAAAGTAGAAAATAATTTTTAATTACAAAGATTTTTTAGTTTGATTTACCAACTAGTTTTTTGTGGACATGTGGTATTGAAATGTCTTACGTATCATTTCGTAATCTAATCACAAGATTGTTATTATGATTATAGTTATAGTCCGGTACCGTTTGGACTATAGAATATAGAAATTCTGAATCTCTTCGAAAATGTTTATTTTCACTCGTAAAAAAGGACAATTCTATTCGGTATGATCCAATATTGGATGAAACGATCATCATAAAGCCGAAAATGGACGATCCGCTTCGTAATATTATCATACCTACAATACCCCGCCTAACAGGAATCGCGAATCTCGGGCGAAAATCAAAATACAAATGTCAAACTCAAAATATCTTTGAATTTTCTAATCTGATAAAGTGTTGTATATCGGATTAATCAGGAGACTTTGGTCTTTCATTTTGCGAAAAAAAATCGTAGCTATCTGGATCCGTAACAAAAGTCTGTATCGAAGAAGACAAAGTACGCCGAAAAACGGCTGTCATCGGTATCTTTGAGGCGCTCAGAGTATACTTTTTCGAAATTTGATGGGAATTCTAACGGTCAGAATCGTTTCCTAAGTTCAATATCTTTATTTTTCGATAGCTATATAATTTTTACCCGCTTACGTATAGTAGTAATAGGCGAGGACAGAGCCGGAAAACAAAGTGACTTTTTCACGCATCGAAAAGTAGCATATAGCAATTTTAAAAAATCGAAAGTTTCGAAGGAAAAGGGATAAAGAAAAAAAAGACGCTATCTTTGAGTCCGATGTCCGGGCTTTCTCATGCAAAAATCGTCAGGTTCGTAGCTCCTCTATCTTCGGAGGAAATCGAAGTTGAACGTCGAACAGCACGAAAATCTACCGTTTTTTTCGACTTTACCGGCCGTTTTCGATCGCGTTTCTTCCTCTCACCTCGACGATTATGACTCGCCCGTAAAGCGCCGAGTTTCTAGTTTCCGAAACGGTATCGCTTTCCTTTCGGACGTTTCGCGAACCGGGAAAAAGACCGGAAAAACCGCGTCGACGTCAACCGTTCGGATCCGCTCTCCAAATCTAAATCCTACCAAAAACAAACGAACACCGCTTAATATTGTCGATTTCATTTAAAGCTTCACTGTTACATGTGGTATTTCCTGTTAACATAGAGCAATCTAGTTCTTCAATCCGAATACCGTCTAAAGGTCTTACACGACTTAGGGCCAATTTCACCAACAACAGTCCGTTATTCTCCAGGGTAATAGTCCGTCAAATACAGCGAATGAGCTTCAAGTTCCAATCAACAAATTTTAGCAACCAATAGCTATGAAATGCTGAAAACAAAATATTGTCAATGTATGAGATGACATCTTGTCATTGAAACATCACCAGCCTATTGAATATTAAGAAAACACATATAATTCAGTCAAAATTTAAACAGATGTTTGATTTTTGAATAAAATTCATATTTTAATTACCATTGTTGATTTTTTATTCATGATAATATTATGATGTTAGATGATATCTGTGTTTTAGGATGGAGAGGACATAATGTTTTTATTGCTTTGAAGAAATTCATTATCCCATAAATTAATAAATAGTTACTATTATGACATAAAGGAAGATGAGGAATTGGATGGAATGTATTTTATATTCTATTTTCTTGCAAAATACAGACAAATCCACACTATTCAACAGGTATGTAATGATAACTTTCAGTATATTGAAGTTGGTAAATTCAAGAGTGCCATGCATTAACAAACGTGCTGCCAAATTTAACAGCTAGAAAATCGACCTATTATTTGCCGCATTCCCATTCGCTGAGGGGGATAACGGATTGTTAAATCTAAACCTATAACATATATCAAAATACATAAAAGTTGTCCTGTTTTTTCTGTACAAAAGTGGTCTTGTTTATAATACAGTCAAATTTTCACGATTTTATTCAATATTTCAATAGAAATCACTAATATTCAGAGACCTTTGACAGCTTTCGTCAAATTGCATTTCGATAAGGTATTTTCCCATTGGTCCATAATATTAATGTTGGTGAAATTGGCCCTAAGTGCTACAAAAGCTTGTCCAGCGGCAAACAGTCGCGAGCCTAGATTAATGACTGCATGATCGACCTTGCATCTTGTGGACGGTCGAAGCCCAACCCAGGATAAATGGCAACATTCGCAATGAACAAGGTGAGAATGCACTACCTTGAAAAAGTATCTGCCTCCGTTGTGCTGGGCCGAGTGCCCGAACCAACAAAGAGTAAGTCCGAAACTGCACAGACGCGCAGATCGCGCGCTATCTCTATCTCTCTTACTCCCCTACAGAGGATCTATAAAAAAATTTATCAATCCTGTCCCATAATAATGACAAATTATTGCATTGTCATCGGTCCTTGATACGTGTGCGAAGTTTCAAATTAATCAAACTTCTGGAAAGTGGTGAAAATTATGCTCAAAGATTCCATTACATACATAGATACAAGCCCAGCTAATAAAAGCGTGTTTAAAATAAAAATACAAATAATCCGACTGCAATAACGGAAAATAATGAAGATTTAATTATGCTATCAAGTTTAAGGTATAGCCCGTGATATAGGAATTTCAAGGTTATTTTTTTAGTAAAATCTGTCATTTTTATAAAATATAGGCAGTGTTATTAGCACTGCTAAGAAAAATCCAACAACTAACAACACTTCATATGTCAAAATCCATAAAGCCGTATAAGCTGTAGTCCGAGAAATATCTAGAGATAATCTTAAAACCGCGATTATCTTATGAGGAGCATTTAACCAATAAGTAAACCAATGTTTCCACATCTCAAAAACTATTAATTTACGAAGCAGATAATATTTTACAAAATTAACCTTATTTTCAGTACAACAAAATTATGAAAAAGGTGGTTTCCATTTGAAAAATTTTTAGTTTCGAAAATTCTGATTTTCATTCTCTTTTTGACCACCCTGTACGATTTGTTATCCAAATCTGGAATAGAATCTACTACAGTAGGTTCATTACTATAAGAAACCCGTTACAACTCATATGACAAAAGCAAATATACGAGAAAAATTTGTTATAATTCATTGTCCTGCGTTTATAATTTTTTGGCAAAATATGAGATATCTCAAAAACAGTTAGACTGTGTTTATACATGAGATGTACTTAGAATCTTGCGCGTAATCCAAACATTGACATTGAATAATAAACAGGGTATTCTATTTAAAATAAGGAAGTTGGTATCTACTATCAAGATATTTGAGCCGAATTACTTCCATTAGTTATACCTTAAGTGCAAATTTTTATAACACTATGATTATCCTGCATCAATTTTTTAAGTATTCGATCGATGCAGTTGTACGTGGGATATATTCCTGAGATAGTCGGATAATAAAAACTTCATAATAGTGACGAACGATTTAGTAGACATAGTTTGCAGTAATAACGTACTACTTTAAGATATAGATATCTAACTTTTCTTGTACTACATTGCTGAGGTCAAAGTTGCTAATGAACGACGTTAACTGTTTAATCAAGTTAAAACCTTGACATTCAGAATTTCAATTTGCATGCTATTTGTTTTTATTACAGCTTTAGTACAGCACTATATCGCATGATAGAATATCGGCTGACAGAGAGTCAGCCCTTCAAAAATGTTGTCAAGTACACTGACTTCATACCTTCCACGCCTAATTTCTGGTACAATTTTATCACCTGATAGAAACTTTAGTTTTCAACGCATGCCTCGCTGCATAACAGTTACTATGAACACGTGCATATTTACATGCAAGGTTGCCATGACAAAAACCGAGAACAAAACTTTTTAGGGAAATTTCGCGAAAATTACGTGACAAATGTCAAACCTCCATGCAAAAATGATTTTTTGTTTTCCAAGGCACTTGTGTATTTTTTAGCAAAAAGAAGGTTGCAAACATATCGTTACTTTTAAGCTACCCTGTATATATTTTTGAATGAAACTACCATAAATCTCTTTTTTAAACGCAGAAACAAACCTCGAAATTCACAACTCACCAAAAATCTTAGATGTCTCTTTCTGCATTAAAATCTCAGATTTCTAAATTTTGAGAGTTGATTCGTTATTAAATTCTTAAATTAAAATAAAAAGGTTGCAAACATCACGTTACTTTTAGCTACCTTGTATATATTTTTGAATGACTCTACCATAAATCTCTTTTTTAAACGCAGAAACAAACCTCGAAATTCACAACTCACCAAAAATCACAGATGTCTTTTTCTGCATTAAAATCTGAGATTTCTAAATTTTGAGAGTTGATTCGTTATTAAATTCTTAAATTAAAATGAAAAGGTTGCAAACATAACGTTACTTTTAAGCTACCCTGTATATATTTTTAAACGGAACTACCATAAATATGTTTTTTAAACGCAGAAACAAACCTCGAAATTCACAACTCACCAAAAATCTCAGATGTCTTTTTCTGCATTAAAATCTCAGATTTCTAAATTTTGAGAGTTGATTCGTTATTAAATTCTTAAATTAAAATGAAAAGGTTGCAAACATAACGTTACTTTTAAGCTACCCTGTATATATTTTTAAATGGAACTACCATAAATATGTTTTTTAAACGCAAAGATCGAACCCCAAAATTCACAACTCACCAAAAATCTCAGATCGTCTTTTCTGCGTTAAAATCTCAAATTTGTAAATTTTGAGAGTTGATTCGTTATTAAATTCTTAAATCAAAATGAAAAGGTTGCAAACATAACGTTACTTTCAAGCTACCCTGTATATATTTTTGAATGGAACTACCATAAAAATGTTTTTTAAATGCAAAAACCAAACCTCAAAATTCACAACTCACCAAAAATCTCAGATCGTCTTTTCTACATTAAAATCTCAAATTTGTAAATTTTGAGAGTTGATTCGATATTAAATTCTTAAATCAAAATGAAAAGGTTGCAAACATAACGTTACTTTTGACTGAAACTACCACAAATATCTTTTTTGAACGCAGAAACCAAACCTCAAAATTCATAACTCACCAAAAATCTCAAATCATCTTTTCTGCATTAAAATCTCAAATTTGTAAATTCTGAGAGATTTTCGTTATTAAACTCCTAAATTAAAATGAAAAGGTTGCAAACATAACGTTACTTTTAAGCTATCCTGTATATATTTTTGAATTAACCATAAATCTCTTTGTTGAACGCAGAAACCAAACTTCAAAATTCACAACACCAAAAATCTCAGATCGTCTTTTTTTTTTATATTCCAACTACCACGAAGGCCTAGGGCCTAAGCACCCATTGGGTACCGTGGGGCTATACGGGGATACATGGGAAAGGGGGGGACGCCACACGGACTCTGGCGAGGGAACACGTGTGCATGCAACATGCACACATTCTGGCTCCGCCTACGAGAACCGCCGGGTGGTACCTCCGCGTTCGACAGTCAGAGACCATCTACCACCTACGGACGATCACAACATCCATAGCCAAGAGAAAAATTTCTCCTGGGACGGGACTCGAACCCGCACAGCGCACGGCGACTGATCAGGAGACCGAAGAGTCTACTACTGCGGCCACCGCTCTGCATTAAAATCTCAAATTTGTAAATTTTGAGAGTGGATTTGATATTAAGTTCTTAAATCAAAATGGAGAGGTTGCAACAATAACGTTACTTTTGACTGAAACTACCATAAATATCTTTTTTGAACGCAGAAACCAAACCTCAAAATTCACAACTCGCCAAAAATCTCAGATCGCCTTTTCTGCATTAAAATCTCAAATTTGTGAATTTTGATTCGTTGTCAAATTCTTAAATTAAAACGAAACTTACCTTTTCGTACATGGCAGCAGTCTCTTTGAAGGCCTTGTAGTTGGACCTGACCCATTTCTCGGCAATTTCGAATGCCAACCTAACAGCATGGTCATCTCCAGTGTTGTTCAACCCAATGATCATCAAATGCTGTAGCGGTGGCCACGCATTGGGATAATCCCATTGTTCCCCAGTGTGCTCATGTGTTGATGGAATTCCTCCAGGATATAGTACGTTTTTATCCTGAAGGTACTTCAGCACAGCTCTAACTATTTTTTCTTTCTGGGTCTGGTTATAACAGTGGGTCCAAAGAGGAGATATGTTGGTTGGATAGAAGTAGTTCCTGGGGACGCTGTTGTACAGATCATAGTCCAGCCATGATCCAATGTCTTGATGCCAGAGAACAGCTTCAACAGCTTCCATCCACTGGTTTGCTATCTTTGAATAATTCTCAGCCTTGTCGTAGTTGTGTAATAAAGCATGAAACTCGCTCAAAATGACTGCGTTCCAATATACCATGGCGTTCAAGTCTACAGGAACGATGGATCTAGTTTTGATATCGGTTAAGTTGCCTGCAACAAAATTGCTAAGTCAGCTATGTGACAGAAGGTATGATTAGCGGATTCATGCTCGACAATTTCTATGGAATCAATAATTAATTGCGATTTTTGTTTATAAAATTTGTAAAAGTGTTACGTAAATCCAAAACAATGAGGATAGGATATTCACTCTCTGCCTAATTTTACCATTCTGATTCAATACGAGAGATCCAGGCTAGTTGACGAAATTTCAATTGAATGACATTCCCATGTGAAAAAAAATTTGTTGGAGGTTGAAATTTTGCATGCACCATCGCCACAAGGTTGTTAAGCATGTGTGAAAGTTTAAATCCGATGTTTCTGTCGCTTCGGTAAACGTGCGTCACGTGTAAGGAAAGGTATTCAGCGAAATATTATTATAGAATCAATATCTTCGTTACCAACCTGTGTGAAAATTACTGTTAATTTTGAATTTACGACATATTCCTCGATGCATCATGAAGCGCAGTTTTATTCATTTTTCATCCGTGGAATAATTTGAGATTGTTGGTAGACTCTTAGGTGATCACAATTCATATTACAACGTTTTACCGCACAAAACTAAAATTGATACAGCAACAACGTAGTTATCGACTTTATGTTAATTTAGAGTAAGTCTTCAAGATGCTGTTGATACTCCGCGAGTCTCGTCCTCAATGTTTCCATCAGCCTCAGATGTTGCAAACTTAGCAGAAAGTCAAACAAACTCGTGTCTTTGAATCGAACAGAGACAACTCAGGACACCCTGTATACAGGGCGTTCGAAAAATAGACGGAGATAGTTTAGAGGGTGATTCCTTATTATACAATTTGAAATTTCGCGAAATGTCGCGCAAATGTCGAACCTCTATACAGAAATGATTTTTTGTGCAAATATTAATAAATCAATTTTGTCCGGTGACATGCAATAAAACGGTTTTTATATTTTTTTTTCTCTAAAACGGAGACGAAAAAACACAAGAGACAATGAAGTTGCATTTTCAGATGCTTAATCAAACAACAAATATATAAGTTACAAATAAGGCAGTCGCTTACATTTTTTTGCCAATAATATTCGCTAAGGTGCCCCCCGGGACGCCACTAGAAGTAATAATTTTAATCTATCCAGGGCTAAGTTAGTCTCTTAATACAACAAACTAGATTGTTATTATGATTATAGTGCGGTACCGTTTAGACTATAGAATATAGAAATTCTGAATCTATACCAAAATGTTTATTTTCACGCGTAAAAAAGGACAATGCTATTCGGTATAATCCAATATTGGATGAAGCGATCGTCATGAAGACGAAAATGGCACGTTTTGGACGTTCCGCTACCACGCGCTCGCTTTTGTGATATCATACCTATCATACCCCGCCTAACAGGAATCCCGAATCTCGGGCGAAAATCAAAATGCAACTGCCAAAATATCTGCATACCTCGAAATTTTCTAATCTGCCGAGTTTAAAAAATGCGTTCGGATAACGTGTTGTATATCGGATTAATCAGGCGACTTTGGTTTTCGTTTTGCGAAAAAAAATTGTAGCTATGTCGATTCGTAACGAAGGTCGTATCGAAAAAGGCAAAGTACGCCGAAAAACGGCTGACATCGGTATTTTTGAGACGCTAAAAGTGTACTTTTTCGAAATTTGCGGGAATTCTAACAGTCGGGATCGTTTCCTAAGTACGATATCTTTATTTTTCAATCGCTATATAATTTTTACTTGCTTACGTATAGTAGTAATAGGCCAAGACGGAGCCGGAAACATAGTCATGCATCGGAAAGTAGCGCGTAGTCGAGGAATTTAAAAAATCGAAGCTTTCGAACGAGAAGGGATAACGAAATAAAAAAAGACGCTATCTTTGAGTCCGATGTCCGGGCTTTCTCACGCAAAAATCGTCAGGTTCGTAGCTCCTTTATCTTCGGAGGAGATCGAAGTTGAACGTCGAACAGCACGAAAATCTACCGTTTTTTCGACTTTACCAGCCGTTTTCGATCGCGTTTCTTCCTCCTACCGAGTTTCTAGTTTCCGAAACAGTATCGCTTTCCTTTCGAACGTTTCGCGAACCCTGAAAAAAAAACTGGAAAAACCGCGTCGACGTCAACCGTTCGGATCTCGACTCGAAACCTAAATCTTACCAAAAACAAATGATCACCGCTTAATATCGTCGATAGTATTGCCAAATTTCATTAAATTCGAGGACATATGTACCCATGTTTATAGCAACTCTTTTTCATATTTTTTAACAAGGGATCACCCTCTTAAATATCTCTGTCTATTTTTCGAACACCCTGTATAATCACTCCTCCATGTCAAGGAAGTTGTTGATGACCTGCTTTGTTGAGATGACGAGTCCTTCGTCCACACTATGGTGCCACAGGCAAACTTTCCTGGAGTCCAGTGTTTTGAAACCTAAAAGGTATAAGATTGGCAAGACTTCATCTGGCTTTCGAGAAAAAGCGCCCACTAAGTGGTCTATGCATAGGCTTATCTGCCCCTTATTTATAATGCATTTTTATGACTACGAATATTTTGCTGATTATACCTATTTCATTACGCGTTTATTTGCATCAGATTTCACAAGCAACGATACAAGTCCATATGTGTATTTTTGACGCTATCAGACAATGAATACAATAATTAGGATTAAGTTTAATGCTGTCGAGAATATTATATGATAATGAACATCGTAATAAAAAGAAATCGTATCTAACTGCCTGCAACGACATTATTAAATCCAAATCTAAATACATGACGACAACAACTATCGTGTTTCTGTCAGATAATATATACATACTTCAGTTACATGTGTATGTATATAGTATGAATATATAGAATATACGTAGATACGCTCGTGCATAATTAAATTATATATCAACCTCGGAGTAATTACAATTTTTTATCCGTCAGTCTAATTAGTAACAAAATAATTAGTTGTTAAGCGAATAAAATTGTTTTGGCGGTGATTACCGGTATTTCGAAATACCACGAATTTTATCACAATTATTTTCTGGCTGATAACATTTTTAATGTCGGAATTTATTCTACACACGCTGATTGTGTACCGTACTAAATTTGTGCTCTCAATTATTACCTCGTTAATAAGCCTAAAAACAAAACATTAGAATAATAATTTCCGAGGTGAACCAAGGATTTACCGCACAAATGGAAGACAAACGAATACCGGTTATTCACACCAAAACTAAACTTGTTTTGCAAAAAATAAACCCAAATGTAAATTATGCGTCACAATACCTATATGTATAAAACATAAATATATCTATAGTCAAGACTACCAAACTAGCCTTTGGAAGCAGGTGCATTTTCAAATATATTTCAAAGACAAATAAGTTCAATGTATACTACACAGATTATTAGTACGATTTGCTTGATCGTATAGTCTTTTCCATCATTGTTGTGTACGATTCCATAAAATTTGTCATCAAAGGCGGATGTAAGGATGAACTTTGTTTTCATAAAAACATACGTTTTTGTAAACGTAAGTTTTTGTAATCTCAAATTATAGCAATAGTATTCATTGCAAAATATAAGAAATTTTTTGAATAAACTTCAAATTTTAGAACGTGTGAGCATGGAATGTGAAAAATGTAGAGAAAATAGGAAAATGCGATGCTTTAGAAGATTGACAAAAAAGACATACTTGTATTCCAAATAAAAGGTATGTTAATCGTGTCTATTTATATATACAGGGTGACTTTGAAGTTGAGTCATTAATTTTCAGATAATGATTGTAGAAGGAAGATAAACCAGAATATGTGTGTAAAAATAAAAAAAAATTAAAAAAAAATTTTTACCTTGTTTTATAAAGTATCCTCCCGACAAGTATTTCAGTGCGGACCTGTATTTGATCGTGAGGTCCCCTGTGAGGTCTTAAGTCACCTGATTCACGAGCCCGTTGTACTACATTAACAAAGGCACGAGGGGTTGGTTGCACTCGATTGGGAAACCGATCCGCATAAACATGTGCCATTTTTTATTTCGTTTGAGCCACGCAACAGACACTATTCACACGCTAACCGACAGACACTGAGTGTATGTATAACTGAACTGAATAAAATACTTAATTGCAAAAACGTTCCAAATTCTTTCGCTTTTTTGTTTCCGATGCGATGAACTGGTAAGGCGGATTATATCCGTTGTTGCCAAACACGAGTACATGATATTATTATTGAGACAGGGCGGTACTCAAACTTCCAAAGGGCTATAACTTTGTTACTTTAATTTTACCAGAAAAATGGTAAAGGAAAAAAACATTTCTTTTGATCAGATCTACTCACTGTTAAAATAAATGACTCAACTTCGAAGTCACCCTGTATATATATAGATATATTCATAGAAAACCATTGTTGGTCTGTTCTGCGTCTACCATTATGGTGGGGCGACATCTATACGCATTATGTGGAACGTCGAGCAGTTATGAGCCGGTAGCGTAGGGGTCTTTCGTCATCTTTCATAGTACGAGATGCTGATGATCAATTTGGCAAACATTGGTAGATGGAGACTGTCAGATGTTTCGCCTACCTCCGCACAATTTATAGTAATACCAAAGAGTAGTTATATAAAAATGAGACGGTTAGACAGGACGAATCAAATTAGAGAGAGATGACTCCAAGAACGTGGCAGCTGATGGCGTCTAAACATGGCTGTCCTGATTTAGTCGGAAATAAATGCGTTGTTCCTAGATAGATAATCCTTTTTGTAGTGAACGCATTTTTTGTTCAAATTTACTCTTGTTTGGACATTTATTCATGGTGGGGATATTTATCATTCATTTGGGAAGTTATCACAGGGTTATTTAAAGTTTATGGCCCTACGTGTAAAACTACACGACTTAGTTTAGTAACTAGTAATAAAGGAAGTACGTCAGCAAAAAACCGTTAAAAGGCATGAGCTCCATTCTGATTAGTATAAATGAAGTATTTTATAAATATTTTATGACAGCTTGGCAACACCGCCTCGGTATCCAAGGACGGCAGATGCTGTTTTTATTTTTAAGCAAGTAGTTGTCCAAGAGCCGACGGCAAAGTTTTGGTTAAATCCCATAGCGATAAACACTGTTAAAAGCTAACCAAATCTTACGTATTTTTAAACTGATAAAAGACCTAAAGAACACGTGGCTTGGAACTCATGAAATTTAACGTGAGACTAATCAAATTCAGACTGACTTGTCCGTATTGCTACCTACACTGGTTGTAAATCTAACTATTTCGGCGCGATATTTTTTGTATCTATTTCATGTTTCTACTACATTAATAAGAGAAACATAACTGATCCTTTGACGCGAAAAAAAATGAAAATTAAAACACGACTAATTATTGGCACACCAAATATTCAAAAATTTGGTGAAGGGTGCTTTATAATGTAAATATGGAAAATGGCAATGGTGGTGGAAATATGCTTCAATCCTTACACTCGCCTTTGGCCAAAGGTACCTGTGAACAAAATGGAAATTACCTGAATTCCGCTCACCTTTGTTTGTGCCATTTGCAACAAACCATCTACTAGAAAAGTCCCAACCTGACTCAGCTCCAGCTTTTAGTTCCGAATAGAACGCTTCCTTCTTGTCGGCTTCTTTGAAGATCGCCGCGCTCTCCACGTCTTCAGAATAAGACTCTGGCCTAGGTCCGTAAGACTTATCTCCATAGATAGCTAAAGTGTAGTTCTTTCTATCTTTCTGAACGATAGTAGTATGATTGTTCATCCAATAGTTGAATTCTTTCTCCATGATGTGGATATTCCTTCTGACGAAGTCTAGATCTTTGGTTGTGTCGTAATAGAGTTTGACCATGGGAAGAAGCAATGGAGGTTGCGATCTGGCTAGGTAGTATACTCTACCACCGTTAGGAATGTGTCCGTAAGTGTCGACTATGTACAAAAAGTTTTCTAACATTCCCCGGACTGTCTCGTGCATCTCTGATAGAAGAAGTCCTTGAACTATCCAGTAGGAATCCCAATAGTAGAATTCTCTGAATCTTCCTCCAGGTACTATCACTGGATTAGGGACCCATATGATGCTGTAAAGATTCTGCCTTTCTTTTACCTCATCTTTCATTTTCCTACCCAGTATCTTCCAAATCTCGTTCAATTCCTTCCCCCACTTCTTCAATTCAACGTCTTGGATATCGTCAACGAATTTCGGGTCTGGTGTCCAATCCTTGGGATCCCATTCCTCAAACTCCATACCTGCCTCCTCAAAATGCTTCTTAACAAATTCCCTAACGTCTTCCCGTGAGGGTTTCTGTTGGTATTGTGTCATGAACTCATCAAAGGACTGCAGGGTTTCATTTGGGGGACGTTTCATTTTCATGTCTACGAATGTTTTGGAATCTTCGTATATTCTGGCCATTTGGATGGTGTCCAACAAACGTCCATGACAGTAAATGTCGCTGAAATAATAATTCTAAATCTATACGGGGACTTTGGCTCACTAACACCATTTGAGTACGGAAAAGAACTTATTGTATTATCAAAGCAATAACATGTTCCACCCAATTCAGTTTAGAGCCTGCACGATAATAAGCACCTGTGTGCCCGCCAAGCACTTATGCGCACTATACAGGGTGTTACTAAATTATAGGCAGTAATTATAAGCGCACAGTTGGACCAAATTCAAGTAGAACACGAGAAGAGTAAGGCCAAAATTATTATTTTGAGATAAACAATATTTTTTGCTCTACAATGTATTAAACAAATCTCTGAAAATTAAACATAGGTCTATTCAAGTAAGCATGTTTTGTGTACTTAATATTTTCGGAAACTTTTTGTAAAAAATAGCAGAAAAAATTATAGAATGTGCTATGTGCCACTACAAAAATATAAATATTGTGGTAAATAATAACCAATAACCAACCAATAAAAAAACATAAAAAAATTAGCTCCTATTGAATATTAGCATTAAATAGATCTTCATGAAATTATCTGTTTTCTTCCTTCAAATAAGGAATCATTGCCAGCAGATCTTGTTTTTTCTTCAGAAAGTCTACTTTGGCAGGTCAGGTTTGGAAGAGTCATTTCTGCGATAGTTTCAATAGTTAATTTTTTTTTCTCCAAAATCTACGTTGTTTTCCAAGGCTCTATTTCGTTCAGGGTTTCTCGGATGCTAACAAATCGTGGGTTTTCTTGGCTAATATTGATCCAATGAGCTTTCGAAATTTGAAGCTTGGATGTGTTGATCGAACTTTCACAAGCAACTTTAAAATCAAAAAAGTGAAGAAATGGTGTTTTTGTCACTGCTCCTATCATCACAAGAGGGTGAGGAAAAGGGCTCCGAAAACAAACTCACTAATGGAGGCAGATTTCTATTACACTCTCCACCACCCGATAAACCGCAGCCCTGCGTGTGAAACTATTTCACAAAATCGGGTAGTGGGCCGTTAAATTCCTACACCAGAGCACTGGAAATAGCATCAAGTCACCTTCAGCTCTCGTATTCACGGTTGGAAGAAATTATAAAAATTACCTTTAACGATAGGGAGAGTAGAGTATGATTATCTACCACAAAATTATTAGACTAAGAGAAGTGGTTTGTTATAAATATGAAATTCGATCATGATGTCCATATGATATGACTCGACAAATCATACAGTCAGACTTATTCTTGCTGAATTTTTGATATCGATCTCATTACTAATAGCCATAGCACTTTGCGCTTTATCTATGTTGTTGGTTACGGCATCTAGAACATTCTACAAGTATAAATATTTTTGAAGTTATAAACAAAAATGTACAAGAAAATCTTGATGAATTTAATTTGATCGACGCACAATATTTATTCATAAGACATTTTTTAAACTTTGAAGGATTGAATGTGACAAAATATTTACAAAAAACGCTTCTATGCAGGCTTATACCCTTTCTCATCAAGTGAATTCTTTTAAAAATACTATGAGTGTTGCGTACAGTTCCACGTCCGTCAAGAATTCTATTCAGATCTTAGGTACCCCCACAAAAAATCTAAGATGTCCAAGTCAGGCGATCTGAGTGGCCAGAATTACCACAGGCATGACATGACCATATCTATCATTTTCAAATTTGAATAATTATTTACCATTTCTTAATGATACAATCTACCTTTTGACAGAAGAAACATAATAACAAACTGTCACCGAAAGTTAAAAATATGATCATAACAACATAGTTGATTAAGTTGATTTGATTTTATCTTAACAGTTTTCGACATGTAACGAAGTTGTTTTTACTTCATAATTATCTTCCAGTTAGATAGTACTAACTTAGCGTCTAATTGCAATAAATAACCACATATCGATGGTTCTTTCGAGTAAACAGTTTCACTTATTTTTTTAAAACTTTGAAACCTTATATCTCGGAAACCAGACGCACGTTCCTATGATATTTTGTACTTAAATTTGGAATACGCCTTTGCAATTACGGCTTATCATTAAGTAACACCCTGTATAAGTATAACCAAAGACTAGGTACCTGTCGCCCACTGTATGTACAGGGTGTGTCCGGAAAGTAATAGGACTCATTCTCTTCCGCCATGACTGTACTTCGGAGCGTGCGCGCCCCAACTGGATTCAGAGGGCGTTCCTAGCTAACGAATGAGCGGCTGGTCAGTTGTCTCCGAGCACTTGGAGAGTCAGGACAGGCATTTTCGCGCGACGTGTTTCTGTGAGTGGTGCAAGCCGAAAATGCAGCGTTCGTTAGAGCAGCGGTACGCGATTGAATTCTGTGTAAAACTCGGTAAATCTGCGACAGAGACGTTTGATATGATCAAGCAGCCTTACCCAGGTGTTGCTTTAGCAAGAAGTGGTGTGTTTCGGTAGCACCAGGCCTTTTTCGAGGGCCGGGAAGAGGTCGCTGATGAAGACCGTGCTGAAAGACCTTCGACTTCGACAAACACCGATAATGTGACTCGTGTGCGCAAAGTTTCGAACTCAGACCGTCGACTAAGTATTCGTTTAATTGCCCAGATGTTAAATTTACCAAAATCTGTGGTTCATGACATTGTGACACAGCATTTGAACATGCGCAAGGTGTGCGCGAAGATGGTCCCAAAAGTGCTCTCTGACGACCAGAAATTGTGGCGAGTGGAAGTGTGCCAAGAAAATTTGAACATGTGTGAAAGTGACCCCCAATTTTTGCATAACGTAATCACAGGTGACAAGTCGTGGATCTTTGAGTATGATCCCGAGACAAAGAGGCAATCTTCCGAGTGGCACACGACGGCGTCTTCTCGCCCAAAAAAGGGAAGAATGAGCAAATCCAAAGTGAAAACGATGCTCATTGTCTTTTTTGACATCAAAGGCATCGTCCACCATGAATTTGTTCCTCATGGACAAACCGTCAACGCCAAGTGTTACGTGGAAGTGCTCAGGAGACTCAAACGAAGAGTCAGCCGGGTCCGACAAGACATCGCAGCCGACTGGAAGTTGCACTACGACAACGCCCGGACTCACACCGCCTTTCTTGTGAACAGCTACCTGACCAAGGCCGGCATCCCAACGCTTCCGCAGCCGCCCTACAGCCCAGATGTGGCTCCCCGGACTTTTTTTTGTTTCCTCGCCTGAAAAGGCCGATGAAAGGCAAGCATTTTGAGACGACAGAGAGGATCCAAGCAGCATGCACCGCGGCTCTCAAGGCTATTCCGGAAAATGCCTTCCGTGACGCCTTCAATGCTTGGAAATCGCGCAGAAGGAGCCTATTTTGAAAGTTTTTAAAGAATTGTAACGATATAAATTTTTTAAATCGACTCAGTCCTATTACTTTCCGGACAAACCCTGTATATACTCCTATCAGCACTGTCAACGGCCTTGTATACAGGCCTCGTGTGGCCATAGAGTAAAGACGGAATAGCTCAGAAGCAATTACGAGAGATGTCATTTAAGCATAAACTAAAGAGGAAATGGAGCCTGTTTTTATTAATTCTAAGGGAAGTAGTGAGATCATACTTGGCATCATGTCTCTGGTGATGGAACTTGTACGCGAACTTCCAAAGACAGCCTAGGTTTCAGCGTTTACTGGGGAACTGACGAAACGGGGCGCCATGGAGGAGGGCTTATAAAAAGTCCCGAAATACGAACCTCTTGTAACACTTTACTCTTGACAAATTTATCCAAAAAATAATTAATGTTCTGAAAGGCAAGCTCGTTTAGCGGCTAATAAAGTGCCGAAGCCTGTGAATTTCTTCGATAATTGTTTTGTCTGTCCAAAAATAGAACAATACAATCAAACGAATAACGTTCTACATCCAATTAAAATATATTTGTATATCGCTTATTTTCACAAATAACTATTTAAAAAAACGCGTGCCATATTTTAAAAAACAGTCGTATCTACGTAAGACAAAATATTTTAGTGAGAAATCTAACACTCTCAAACGTTTAGTCAAAAGTATTGATTAAGATAGCATAATTACAAAACCCATTATTTTAGTAAAAAATGTGAATATAATATTTTGTGGGATTATTAATCACCTCCTACTTGCCAGCAGAACTAAGCAATACTCTTAACCCCCCTCACATGCTTACGTAAACATTTTGGTACAGACCCAAGATACTTTGCAGTAACATTATAACCAACAATTTCCATTGAACATACATCTGCTAACATATTTCCGGCAAACTTGAAATTGGATCTTCCCGAATTTTCATTAAGGGCCGTATCGTCAGTCGCTCCTATAATAGTAGTACGCCTTTATGGACTCCTTGTTTTTTATAGTTTTTCCTGTCTTTCAAAAAGGCAGGAGTATTTCTAGATTTCTGACCGCACAGTAGAGAAAATACGATGAAAATTAAGGAGGTAATAAAGACGTCCTTCAATTGTAAGAACAACAAATGAGACCCAAAATGGTCATGAGGCAGTATCAAACCAGTCACTTCCCGACAAACAGGAGCTCAAATCAAAATCGACTAAATTTTGTATAAAATCGGAAACAGTAGAAAAAATAAATATTGCTGACGTAATCGAAAATCTGGATCCACCCATCCCCCATGTCATAAGCAAAGCAAATATAAGCAAAGCGATGAACCCCTCCCCCGGCCACCTCTAGCGCTAACGTAATACTTGAAATGTCCCAAAGTCAACAAAGTATCTGGGTATTCCATCTCTTAATCAATTTTTATAACAATGCTTTTAGCTATTTTTTACTTAGTCGAAAAACAATAAAGGTTAATGTTAAATTATTCTTTATAAATGCGAATACTGTATTCATTGAATAAACATTTTTTACATTTGCAAAGAGAATCTGAAAAATTGTGTTATGAGAATCGTATAGCGGAAAAAGAACAACTATATCACGCATATTTTATACAGGGTGGCGCATTGAAAACGAAACAGACGCATTTACTAGCAGTTCAGTTTTTTTTTGAAAAAACGCTCAGACCCATCGATTTTGTTTTCGAGGGGGACACAAGTTTGTCAAAAAATCACGTTAGCACGTGCAGCCCCCTAAGCGGGGGTGACACCACCCCCAAAATCTTAAATGGAAAGGGGGTTTGAGTGATACCTTATTTTAGAAGTCTTTCAATTCCCTTTTTAATGATATAAAATTAATGTACTTCAGTTCAGTAGTTTTGAAGATTTATTGATTTAAAGCTTAAATAAAACTAATACATCATCATTAGTGGAGATCAATACATTTGGCAGCAAAGTAATTTAAAAATGAAGAATGAACTGACCCGTTAGGCAAGTAAATGTTGAAAATGGCCACCATGACTCTCCATGCAATAATAAAGATTTTGCTCTAAACGTTGCCGCACATTTTGCAATATTTGAGGAGTAATTTGAAGGCACTCATTCACAATTCTTTGTCGCAGGTTTTCTAATGATGTTGGCTGAGTAGCATAGATTTTGCTTTTTAAATGACCCCACATAAAGAAATCCAAAGGTGATAAATCTGGCGATCTTGGGGGCCATTCAATGGCACCTCTTCTACCAATCCATCGATCTGGAAACGTGAAACGTTTGATCTAAATATTGTCGAACACGTAATGCGTGATGTTGTGGGGCTGTTAATGCAGGAACAATGGCGTCTTCCAGTAATTCCAAATACATTTCACCGGTAAAATTTCCAGGTAAGAAAAAAAGGAACAACTAAATGTTCGCCAAAAATACCAGCCCAAACATTTAATTTTTGTGGCTGCTGTGTATGAACCTCATGATAAATTCTGGGATTAGAATCGGATCAATATCGGCAGTTATGACGATTTACTACCCCATTTAAGAAAAAGGAACATTCGTCGGAAAAAGTGTTGAATAGAAAATGTTCATCGTTTATAATTCGTTCACTTATATCTTCACAAAATTGTAATCGCCGACCAACATCGTCTTCATTAAGTTCTTGTACCAGGTGAATTTTATACGGATGAAAACTATGGGCCTTTAGAATCTGTTGGACAGTACGTCGACTAACACCACACACAGTCTCCAATTTGCGGGTACTTAACGTAGGATCTACATAAACTTGCCCTAAAACCTCCACTTCTACTGCTTCGTTCCTTATGGGATTTTCAATGTTGCGTTTTTTATTGGCGACTGACCCAGTTTCCCGAAATTTAGCTACAAGTTCTAGAACATATTTTCGATGCACGTTGCTGTTCTCATGTCGCTCATTAAATATTTCTGCTGTTCTATTAGCACACTGATTATTTCCGAAAAATATTTCGATAATTTCAACTCTTTCTGCTGTGGAATATACCATGGTTAATTTATGTAATAAAGCGTTACAAGTTATTTTAGCAACAAAGTTTGGTCAAATCAATCGCAAACTATACATAGTACATGTACTAAATTCCTATTTAAAATAAGTATGAGATATTTCCTTATCTTTCTTCAAGAAATAACTTTTTTACTACAAAAAACGCTCCAATAGCTATTTTCAACAACAAAATGATAAACAAACCATGCGCGTAGTGAAGAAAAGCATTTACTTAATAAGTAAATTCTTTTAGTCAAATTTATTCTGAAAGTAGTACAAACTAATCTGATTTACCTATTAAAGTCTACTTTAAGCTTTAAATCAATAAATCTTCAAAACTACTGAACTGAAGCTCATGTATTTTACATCATTATAAAGACCATTAAAATAAGATACTACTCGACCCCCCTTTCCATTTAAGATTTTAGAGTTGGTGTCAACCCCGCCCAGGGGGCTGCACGTGTTAACGTGATTTTTTGCCAAACTTGTGTCCTCCTCAAAAACAAAATCGACGAGTCTGAGCGTTTTTCCAAAAAAAAACTGAGCTGCGAGTAAATGCGTCTGTTTCGTTTTCGATGCGCCACCCCGTTTATTATTAAAAAATTCAAATCAATTTCACAAAGTCTATAGCAGAGGTTCTCGAACTGAAATCGTATCAATTATTTTCTACCACCGCCACGAAATTTTTCAAGAAGTTTGTCGGTCTCTGATGAGGGGTATCCACGAATTAGAGCGGGGGGGGGGGGGGGGTGGTGAAGGGAGGTGTGGTCGTCTGCTTGTGAGAGCGAATGTCCTCGTGACAATTATACAAATTCATTGCTTCCCAATTTTCGACTCCTTGCCGCCCCTCAGTAGATCCCCAGTGTCCACAACATGGTCTAAGGAAAGCAAGATTACAATGAGACTGATCCGTACAGGATATCAGCACACTGTCTATTCAATGTTTTATTAAACAACACAATTAATGAGAAATTATTAAAAGTCTTCTATATTGCGAAGATTAACGTTATCATTATCTCATTAAAAAATTAAACACCAATTATACGATTAAAATTTCGCAACACAAACTTAAAAAAGAACATGACTATTCGTCTATTCGCCTTTCAAACTACGTCTCAAAAACGTTATCTTTTAAAACATCCATTTGATAAAAAACTTTTCCAGTACTCAATGATGTGAATGATCATTGACCGCAGTTAGAATATATTTCAGAAAATCTTGGCTCTTAGCCAACACAAGTAGGCAGAACTACACCATCACATGACAAAATGTGGAGTTTCCCAATAGGAATGTTTTCAAAATGTCGTGGCTAACAGAAATGTCATTGCTTGATCTCTGTGTCGAGTACAGCCTGAAGATCATCACGGTAAAATACAATACATTCAAAAGTTTGATCAAAAAGCTCACTCACTTTTCCTCGAATTAACACGATCAAAAATCATTACTGCGATAATAAAGTAAAAATAATGTGAACAAACATGGACATTTTCGTAGATGTGAACATTTGAAACCAGTGCTGCTCAAAGCACAAATAAAACTAAATGCACTTTGGGAGTCTACTGTACTTTTTTACATTTCTTATTGGGAAACCATTCAATAAACTGGAATAAAGTCTTACCTGTTACACGGCGGTAGAAGGTCTTCTTGAGATCTTGAAACTGTCAAGCTGAACCACACTAAACAAATCGCATGAAAGTAATTCATTTTAAATTTGCCTGTATAACTTTCAAATGAAAATTTCGTGAGACACTTCCGCGCAACTTCAACTGACAACTTCAGCTTACCACCCGCACGTCATTCCTAAGAAGAAAGAAAGAACGTTTAGACGTTTGGACTATGCCAGACCCCGAGATGTACTGCGCGATATAGTGAGAGTACATAAGCTTTGCGGACCGCGAGTTAGCTATATATTGCACCAAATGACTGATATCAACCGCGAGCACGCTTGTGCAACCTTTGACGTAGCGTGACGTCAGCAGACAAGCCCCCACAGCAACGTTCTGATTGGTTCATGTTAGACACACCTTTACAAGAGCATTTTTGAACAATCACTCAGTCACCTGTTTGACCGAGGACTTTTATCCTCACATGAGCGTCTATTAGGGGTTTTACATCACCACAAAATAGCGTGAATCGCTTTTTGATTTTTTTTTTTGAACAATTATCCTCTATTATTATTACTTCGGGAGAATAAAGATTCCAAAATACAGGGTGTAAACGTTATGATAGTCATTATTCAAATGGGTGATAGAGGGCGTTAAAAGAAGCAAAAAGTTTCATATAACATGGAGGTCAAAACGGCATTTTTTAGAGAAAAGCGACCTTAAAGTTAAATAAAATCTGACAACGCCGCAATGCCAGATGCAAATTACGACGGAACGCAGTGTAAATAAAGATGGAGTTTGTTATTTTTGGCTCTTAGGTATTATTTCATTATTTGATAATGTACTCGTAAAATGCAAACAATTAAAAAAAACGGACTTACCACTAATTGTCTCAGCGCTTCACCTGGTGTGTGAAAGTTTATCGAACGTATTACAAAAATCCACTTATAAATAGGGAACACAATTTTGATACATACATTGTTTTTCTTTTTAAAACCCACACTGCACTTATTTGTATTTAAAGGTGTTCAAAATGTCGTCCTCCAATTTCCTGGTAACAAACCCTTCTGTCTGGGTGTACCCGTAGACGAAGTCTGTCACGATAAATTCGAGCTGCAAAATTTGAATTTTGTAAATCAAGACGACGACGTACGCGAACAAAAACAAAACAACATACTAACCACTGTTACCGTTTGCGATCGATTGCTGGTTCGATAAGAGTGATGATGACCGAAGCGCTATTGTCATGTGTGTTTTATATGTAAATATTGAATTTCATGAAACTTACTTCGTTACTTAATGCCATTTATTTGTTAATTAGCCAATTTAAAAACTTTTTAGATTAGATTATAAAAATTAGTAAGATTGGGGTGATTGTGGTCGATATAAAGCACTTAAAGTTGTAAACGATAAAGCCATTTAGACAAAAATCTTTTGACTTTTGGACCATGGGTCATATGAACTTTTTGACTTGTTTTGACCCGCCCCCCCCCTAGTACCCATTTAACTAATGACTACCATAACGTTTACACACTGTATAACAGCTGACTGATGACGTCACGGATCTTATATTTCGCTTATTAACCTTGTGCTCAAGAGCTGAAGTATGTGCTTGACTGCAAATGGTTTTTTTTATGTAACATAGAGACAGTACAATGCTGAGATGGTATAATAGTTGATGCGTCTGTTTCGCTGCTTTCTGTGTATATGTTACGGCTAAAACCTGAAATGCAGTGACAACTAGGTTTAGCCAGTTAGAACTTGGAGTAGCCACTGGCATTTGGTTAGTCTCAGGTGTAATCTACCAACTTGATCTCAGCTACATCTAGGTCTATCCAATCGTTACAAGCAGGTTTAGATGGGTATTTTTACAAAAAAATATAATGTCATCATTTTCATATTATTTATTTCAGCAATAAATTTGATAGACATAACTTAGACAGGAGGAAATCACTTACATAGAAATTGTATAATAAAAGAAATAGTAAAAGATTTAAAATAAAAAAGAATGTTATTACAGATTTTTTTATATTCTCGACCACTGCAGTGCAAAATCTTAGAGTTTTTTGTTTACTACTGTTATCGTTCATCTAAATTTGGCTGGTATTTTGCCAGTGGCTTTTACAACAGTTCGGCAGAAATGAAGATTTTACGAAACTAATTTTGTGGACAGACGAGGTGCAGTTTACACGAAACGAATTTCCACAGCAATCATGTTTGGGCAGTGGAAAATCCGCATGCTGTAAAAAGAACTGATTTTCAACATTTAGACTAACAGTGAAATTTATTTAGATTTTCTTCGACCCAATTTGCCACAATTATTAGCAGATGTCCCTCTAACGGTATCCTTTTAACTTGATATTGATTTTTTTGATAATGTAAATTAACTCTCTCATTACGTAACTTTTATATAGGTAGGTGATTTTTGGAATATCAAAAAAGCTCAACGGTATTCTTTAATAATTTTCAAAGAGCTCATGACACGTTCAGCACTAGCTGAACCGATAGGCAAAGTTAAAAACAATCTGAATAATCTGCAGCTCTTTGGAAAACTGTCTACAAAATTGTTTGCAATCATGAACTTCAAATAATCTAGCTGGCTGTCTTCAGAAAAATAACGATTTTCCGAAAAATTCATGCTCGTAAAACTGGCTAATTCATATCTTAGATCTGTAGTGGAAAATTCCGAATATTTTTCTATCAAATTAGTGACGCTGGTTTCTAATTCGTTTTCTTTTAGATTGACTAAACACATCATTCACTTCACGAAATCCTGCAGTACGTTCTTGCTATTCGTTACTCATTGAATCCAAAACTTGGTAGTAGTTTATTCGATGTTTTTCGTGTGTTTCCGTGGCGAGTCAGCAGCTTTTTCGTAGAACATTTTTTAGATTTTCCTATGTCTGACAATGGGAAAACCAGCATTTTCCCATTCCATCTCTTCCCATTTATTCTTAGCCTTCAGAACAAAATTATCGTACGTGCTTTCGCTCCTCAAATCTTTTTAACTTTTTTAATGCTGCTGAAATGCACCTTTGAGCCATCATCAAGTCTATTTCTTTCTTTTGCATTTTAACCTGCACAGTATTCATTACGCTCAATACTGAATACCTCCATAACAAAGTGAAGAAAAAGGTCCAGTTCATGGAGGAAAGGAGAGATTTTGCATTCATTATATCTTCGCCAGAAACTCCTACTCTTGAAATTTCATCTTCTATGCAATTGATATTACATTCGACAAAATTTCTTCCACGATATTATCACGAAGAAAATAGATATGTCATCAAATAAAAAAATGCACAGCATTGTGAAAGTGTATGGTTATAAGCATTGAAGACGTGAAAAGACTGTAATAGACGCAGAGTCTTTACTAGACTGAAAGAGGCTGATTCATACCACGAAGATATTTATATACTGAACATTATAGGTAACAATATATCTCTGTAAGCACAAAATGAAAAAATAGCCCCTCTACTCCTTGAGAAATAAATCGGACAATCGGTCATTTTTCAAAAAATTTCTTAAGAGATGAAAGGGAAAATTTCTTATTCAAACTGAATGCTAACGCGCTGTTTCATAAGCATTACGCAGATGGTCATTAAAAGAATATAACAACACTTTGATTTCTTGTTATCAATTTTACATATGCAAAGGAGATTAATATTAATCGATTCGCAGGAAGACAAAAAAGAAGAATTAATTTTGTTATTTAACAATAAATTGTTCATTTTTAAATTATATTTAATATTTTAATCACTTTTAGGCTGTACTCTAAGGGTACAAGGGTAGGGTTGTCATCTGCCATCCGTCCGCCAGTCAAGTTTTTAATTTTTATGTCAGAGGCACTGATGTCACCCCCCGCCTCCCCGAAGACGAGAGAACATATTCCTGAATATGAAGTTTTTTGACCAGTGTGACCCTCCCCAAACACAAATCCTGGATCCGCCGTTGATTCAGAGTTGACTCAGTTTCATACCTCAGGTAAGGAACTGGTGTACGCCTATGGCACCCGGCTACCAATCTATTATTATAAGGCCCACGACGGAACTGTTGAACTTCTAGAGCCGATTTTCTTCTGATTTATAAGGAATATTTTATGTATGTACAACAATAGCTCTCTCAATTTTACGTCCTTATAATTTGGCCGTTGAAGTATGTTGGCTTATAGCAGACAGCTCAACATCGCTACGGATTGCATCATGTCCATACAAATCATATAATTCACAGAATGATTACGCCTATTTTGTATGTGTAGTTATTTCTCAGACTATCAGATTATATTTTATCAATTTAATGTTTTATTATGGGTAAGAGAATGTTTATGAATGAATGAGATAAAGAGTCAATCTTTGCTTCATAGGCATAGGGCCTGGATCAGCGTATTGCATTTTACAGAGTGAGCTTCAACAGGGTGGAAATTCAATCCAAGACAGTGCTGCATGCACGAAAACAGGTCTGAAACTGAGTAGGAAAGCACACAAACTTGATAAAACAAGAGAAAACATCAAGAACTTAAAATGCGGCAATGACCATGATAGCTGAGCAGAAAAAAACCCTATGTGTAACGTATAATAGTTATATGCGGGTCTGCAAATTTTTAAATTTCTCTTATCTCTTCATACTCTTGAGGTACTATCGAACTAAAAAATGATGCATGACTAATTTCTAATCAATTTTTGGACATACGTGCAAAACTTGGTATTTTGTTTTAAGAGGTTGTTGATTCTTGTTATTGCTTGGCACTCACGTGTGGCAAGGTCACTTCTAAGTTATCATAATTATTGAACTAATCACCAATTTCTCATTATTAGGTGAGTTCAGCCGTCAAACACGTTGAAATATTTTCAATAAATATCTTTGTACTTTGTGACATACACAGATGACAAATATGTTGACTGCTAGGTGGATTCTTGTCCATCAAGATTAAATATGATTTCATTTTTATAAATAGGTATTGGTTGAATGTTCAATAATATTCCTAGATATCATACTCAGCGAAATATCCATCACATACAGGGTGATTCAAAAACATTTACAGGCCAAGAAGTAGGTCAAAAAATCGCATACTGCAAAGCAAGCTAGTACTATTTTCAAGCTCTTTGAGGCGTAAACCATGTCTTTGCACTATTTTTTAGAGTTCACTAATTCGACAGGTCTAGTAAAAAGATCCATTGTATTCAATCTACCAGGTGAAAG